AAAGGGAAGAGGAGAGGAGGAAAGGTGTGGGGAAAGAGAGGGGAGGAGAAGGAAAGGTAAGAGTACAGGAGAAGAGTTTAGGGAGAGGAGAGGAAAGGTGGATGAAAGAGACCAAGAGAGGAAAGAGGAGAGTAAAGGAAAGGAAAGAAGACAGGAAAGGAAACAAAAGGAAAGATGAAAGAGAAGAGGAGAGGAGGTAGGAGAAAAGGTAAGAGGAGAGGAGAGGAGTTTAGCGAAGAGGAAAGGGAAGAGGAGAGAGTTACATATACTTAAATTATTCGGAAAAGTTCCTCCTACACTTTATTGTCAGTGGTGGTAGATCACTTATTAAATCTCATAAATCACACACACACACACACACACACCGTCTTTAATGGAGTCCTGAACCAGTCCCCTCCCGTAGTGCTGGTTGTAGGAGTCAAACGTGTCACTGCACATCTTATACACCTGAATTAGAAGAAGACAAACAACATGGCACAAAATGCTAATGAAGGTTTTCATATATACATACGCGTGTCGTATTGTGTGGAACAGGTCCTATTGCTCACAGCACAGTCTTATTCTCTCAACTCACAGCATACAGTGACAGATGTGTGGAGATGCACGCTGACCACCACTGAAGTGCTGCTTCTCTCTAACTGATGAAACACTGACTCCATCTAGTGGTCCATAGCTGCACTCACACCTGCCTCCGCAGCATGGGACTGACTACCGCTGACAGGACAATGTGTTTTAGACCCTTAGTGTGCACTATATTTAGAGTATTGTTTGGACGGTTCACCTTGTATCCACCTATGCACTGGTCAAAGCCACCAGACTCCATTGAAATTAACTGAAAGTTGACCTCGCAGGACACAGGAGTTGCTGGTCCACCGCTGCCTCAACGGGTGAGCTTGTTTGTGTTAGTGTGTGACTTTGGTGAACTAACCCTTCCAAACACAGCTGGAGCACAGAAAACAGGCTTCAGTTCCCTGTGTGAACCATAGACCATGTAGCTGTCTGACGGCAAGGTAAACCTGCAAAAGTATTACAAAATCAGCGTACACTTAAACAGATTTAGATTTTCTTTCAGTGTCAAAAACACATTTTGCTGCTGCCCCCGTCCACAGCAGCACAGTGCTTTAGTCCCGCGCTGGTACTACTGCTGTTTCTCCAAACTCCATCTACGCTGACTATATGACTCGAGTCTGGATGTTTTTTTCGAGTCCTTTAGCAATTTGTTTTGTCCTTAAGGACCAACCTGCAGAAGTGCAGCGTCCTGTCAGTAAGCTGGATCATGACCCAGGCGTTTTAGGGTGATCCACATGCATGAAGTCATAACCAGACACAAGAGTCACAATGAAAGAATGACAATACAATTATGACTTTAGATGGAGTCAATCAGATTATTGAAAATGATCTGCAACATAATTATTTACCCATCTCAATCCATGATCTAATATACAACCAAATAAAAGTTCATATAAAAGCCGCAACTTTATTACAGGGTGGCACGTTTCTAGTGCGTGCTTGAGAGAGGGAAACGCTTCACAGGAAGATTCTCTGCTCAGCAGTAATCACCTCTTAATCACCTCTTCTTATCTTCCTCCGACTCTCCTCCTCCCACACTATCACTCCTCCATCAGGGAGGTCATTACCACCAATTAGTCTCCTCTCTAAACACACAGTATGGGAACTACTCAAAGCACCACTCCCTGTTCTAGGGCACAGTTTAGCCCAACTTTACTGATTTATCTCTGTTCTTTGACCATCTGAGGACAGCTTGGACCTCTGAGCCCATTTTAACACACAACTTCATTCACACCCACAAAATACATTTCTGAAACTACTGGAGCTACTGAAGTACTGTACTTAAGTACAATCTTGAGATACTTCTACTTTAAATTACTTCATAGAGATTTGAAAAGCACACATTTAATATTGTTTATGAATTCAACTTTTTAATTTCTAAGAAGACTTCTATCTTTCTTCAACAGTATGTTTGCCTCATAGTGCTACTGCACTTTTAGTCAAGTAACATGTTGAATGTAGTAACGGAGTATTTGTACCTTGTGGCGTTACTGGTTTTAGTTAAAGCGGCGCTGGATTGTCTTTTGGCCACCGGGGGGGAAGCTGAACAAACTAAACTATGACCAAAGTATCCAACGGTCTGCTGTTTGGTGCTGAGCAGCTAGTGTACAGTGGCTTTATACCATAGACTATCAGAAGAGGACGTCATCATGGTGACGTCATCCATTGGTTTGTGGACTGCCGTTTTGAAGCCTTGAGTTCGGCGGTTTGGCCGTTGCCATCTTGGCTTTTTTGGAACCAGTGAACAGAAGTTACCATATTTGGAATGTGGAGGAGTGATGTTGAGACCCCGTATACAGCTCTGGTAGCGACCTGTCAATCACTGTGTAGCCCCGCCCTAAAGCGTACCCTGCTTTATGGTCTGTTTGACTCTAAATGGACATCATTTACTAAATGAACATCATGCTTTTTGCTTGCTTGCTTATTGAAGAAGACTTGAAACTAGAGATTGAGACCATAAACTCATGTTTACTGAGGTAATAAATCAAGAGAGAAGTAGAGTCATTTTCTCATAGACTTCTATACAACCAGACTTCTTTTTGAAACATTATAAATAATCATCTGATCTGTTGTTCATATAAAACTGTGGATTGGTACTGCCTAAAGTTAAGTTCCTTTTTACACTACAGCACATTAGACAATACGGGATAATTCAGCACCCTCCGCATACATTCCTGCTAGAGAAAGTTGGCCGTGTGCAGGGTAGTAGTTTAAATGTGCATGTTTTACAGTAATACGCTGTCACTTCTCAGTCCACGCTGCTGTAGCACACATCAAACATGAAGTTGACCTCCTGTACAGGAATCCATAGAGAACATATGAACAAAAGTCAGAGCGCTACGGTGTACAAAGGGTGGAGACATACAGCCATAAGGTTTACACTGAGGATCAGGTCAAACCATCAATCGGCGGGTTCAGTACACAAAGACTTGCAGTTAGTAATAAATGACACATTTCATTAGCTGAATACCAGCCACTCTCACCCATACCTTCATCGGTTACCCTCCCTCTTATGTAAGGTCATGGTGATAAATGTGGATATTTATTATATCTATTTATGGACTGTTGTCCCACCCAATGGCTGCCATTAACAACTTTGACAACTTATTTTTGAATGGGTTCTTTTTTCTGCCGTGCCTTTCAAATTCAACGCCCAGTGTTCCACCTCAATATGAACACAGCATTAACTTCGTAGAAATTAATGCAAATTCGCAAATTCGTTTGCTTCCTGCTGCAGGCATGAAAACGGATGATGATGCTGTCAGTAAGTTGTAATGGAAACTGATGGAAGCGATAAAGGTTTCTCTATCTGACTCTTCATGAGGCGTGTTTACTGCTGCACTGTCGGATTCTACAGAGATTCAACAAACAGATGAATAGCAGCTATTTACATGCTCCACTGTGTGTGTGTGCGTGTGCATTATGGGCTGTACCGCTCAGTCAACAATGTCAACATATTTCAGATAGTTAATCATTGACCTGCTTCAGGAGGTTCAACAGCACCTTATGTTGTTCATCACGCCGCGTATGAAAGGTGTTATCAGTTACTTCTGCTATCATGTTAATAGCAGATATGTATAAAGCTATGAAAACTATGCTTTTATTTAAAGATTTGTGTTAGTAGTATATACATTTATCTACACTGCTGCACTGTTTGTTAAATGTATTTTGTTTACTTCCTGTCTGTGCCCCCTGGTAGAGTTGTAAATTGTTTTGCACATCTGTGCAACAAGTGTTGACATTTACTGTATGGAGCTTAAAAGTGATCGGAGTACAAGCAAATTAATACAATTAAGCTTACAGTTATTTTGTGTGATTAGTTTTCACATACTTTTATTTATTTATTTTTAAACCGTTTTTTTTTTTCTTGAGTACTTAACGAATAAAGGCATCGACCAATCACGTTGTGCGGAACGGACACATTCGAAACTTATAATGTTCATCAAGGCGGAGGCTCCATACTCCCAACCAAGACGGAAAACTTTATTACTCCTTTCAACCTTGACAAAGGCGAACAGACCAGATCTACGCCTTCTCTTCTTACCTTTCACAATAAAAGCCTTGGACATACACATTGCGTAACTCTTTACCAGAGGGAACTCAAATTCCCTCAGAGCAACAGTTTACCTCAGACAGCCTTCCAGACGCTGCTCTGGACCCTCTGCCTGTATGACTCCATTCAAACCTTTATAAAAAAGTGTTGCCACTGTCTCAAATCTGCATCACCGCCGGTGTGATGAAAAATATTTGCAGGACAGAATTTTTGCATTATCATGTTGTTTATTCGTCACGTCTTCGGTGTGTAAAGGCCTCCTGACGGCAGCGGTTGCAACATACACATCTAAACTTTAAAACAACCTTTTCGAAGGCAACGTATCGGCTGCAGTGTGACAGACCTCCCTGATCCGTAGTTCTAGGGTTTTGTCACCAGCTTTGGATTAATATATTCTTGTCATTCTGCACACAGAGCTTCAAATTCAGTTTTAATAATTAATTAATATAAAATAATAATAATTAATACAGAGACCCCAAAGCACCATTCATGGTAGTTCTCCATTGAACTACCATGAATACTGTAAAAAAAGAAGAAGAAGATTACATTTGAACTTCTCAAAGATGGAAAGGACAGTGCATATGTGTGCCTTTCATCCCATTTGCACTTGCATTACTCCGAGTTGTTGTTCAGATCAGTTCTAGTGGAGTGCCAGTAAACCAGTTTCAACCTGAAAGGAAACAAAGATGTGATCTGAACCCCACTCGGAGACCATTCCATTGATGGATTAGAGATCCCCTACACCAGCAGGTCAAACTCACCCTCATGCCGAGGACCAGGAAGCCTATCTCCTCCATCAGTGGGTATTTCCTGATCTGCTGCTCCCGCTTCTCCTGCGAGGCGAACGGATCGTAGCTCCGCCGGCCCAGCTTCACGTCCATGATGCACGGCTTGACGAAGCGCCGGGTCACGTCCTCCAGCTTCAGGTACAGGTCTGGAAACAGTGAGGATGTATGGAGGCAATGCTAGCTTGTTCATAGGAGACTGATGTTGGCCTTTTTAAAAAAAAGAATATTCCTAATGACACGTTTCTTTTATGATTATGTGACTTTTTTGACTATTGACTGCATGACTTTATATCTTAGAAGAGGAAGAATTAACAGCTCAAGGTATTCGGCTTTCATAGCTGGAATTGTACCAATACCATCTTTCCTTAGAGTGAATTTGAAGTTATTTTTCACTCTTCGTGCGTTCTACAAATGTCCAGCTAGGTGAGCGATCAGAGCCCCTGTGCAAGCCCTTGTGGTGCAGAAAAGATTGCGGTTTAGGTTCAAATAAGTATGTCTGTTATTAAAATAAGTTGACTGTTGGTTCACAAACGACACAAACGGCAGTCTCCTGGGTGAAAGTCCTGTGTATGTTTGACCCCGCCATCCACCCAGACTTCTTCCTACACAGACTTTGTCGCTCTTCGTACCACGTCACCTGACTTGCTAAGAGGCAGCCCAGCATGTCGGGGCTCACGATGACGTGGGTCGTATATGAATTACGGTGCAGTACTTTTCGTAGGTCGAAGTACGAGCAGTGGATGAGAACAGCTTGCTGTACATAACAAGACATTGTAGGACAGGAACGCCAAACTGGGTAGGAAGTATTTTTAGTGTTTCCATTAAATCTGGTGCTACAGTTATCTGGTTTGTCCCCACAGAACAAAAATCAACATTGTTTGTTTTGGACAAAATTGGGATTTTTGCCCCCCCATTTATCAGTATTGACTTTAAAAATCCAGTATCGGTCAGGCTATATACCAGTATCCGATAGGACAAACCGGTTCACCTGACCTGCATGTATTCTGGACTTGGACTCTAGAGAGGTGGACACACACAGGTCAGTCTCTTACCATTGGGGCTGTCAGGAGAGGACCAGGTGCCGTAGTACTTGGGCAGATGGTTCTGGAGCTGCAGAAGGCATGGATCACAGCAGTCCTCTGCATACACCTAACACACACACACACACACACACACATTAACATACTATACAGTACCTACATGTGGACACTGTATATTTAGTGTAGGGCTGCAACTAGTGATTATTTTCATTACGGTGTGCGTCACTCAATGAATTGTTGTTTCAAATGTCATAAGCTACTGAAAAATATCCATCACAAGGAGTTACAATATATTGCGACACTGGAAGCGATTTAAAAAAAATCTAATTTTCAGAAAGAATGTCATCGTATGAAGAACACACTGCCAGAGGAATCTGCATCTGCCTTCATCTCAGTCCCTGCAACATCCAACATCCCAGCACATTGAGAGGACACAACTCTTTGCAAATGAAAGAAAGTTTTGACTGAGTTCATCTTTGCGTGTGAACTATTAATTTAAAATCAATACAGAGTTTTTAGAATCGATACAGAAGCGGCTTCGTTCCTCTCACGTTGGAGAAGAAAGAACCTTTTTTAGAACTGTGTTAGTTAGAGTAATGACGTCATGAATCAGGTATCAAAGATCTGCTGATGGACTCATGCATCATCAGCACCGACCCGGGGGATCTTCAGTAGAACGCCAATGCAATTATTCTTTTCCACCCTAATAAAAATAAAAACTATTCTGATGGAAAGTGAAAAATCTGAATGTGTCAGCATGAACATGATCAAAGTTCAGTACAACACACAGACGTACATTTGTGTGAAATGTGACCTGTTGTACAGTTAGTGGACTCCCAGCCCTGTTGGGATCCTTTTAGAGACAGGCAGACACACCATGACTCACTCCTGTTTGTTTGAGAGTTGCTGAGACTGACAGTGCTACTAAGCTCCAAAGCAAATCTCTCACACACACGCACATACATAGACCCATGTGATTACATAGACCCATGTGGAATGTCTGATATCTACGCTGATAACGAAGCATTTACATTTCTCCATGCATTCACATCCATTCAATATATTGCCACAGTTAGCAAGGCGATATATTGTGATTTTTATAAATCTGTCTTTATGAAAAGTGAACACACTGCATTAAATCTGAGTAGAATGCAGTCAGGACAGTGGGATCTGCATTCTGTGGTCCGTCCCAATATTTGCGTACAAACTATAAATTACAAGTGGATACAGTGTGTGAGAGCATCGTGATGAAATGTGAAGATATTTGACCATATGCAATGTGATGCTGAACTATGAACTGAGAGATCAACTTGAATTGAAATGATTAGTCTATTAGTTGGTTGACAAAAAATAAATCATCGACAGCTATTTTGAATGTTTTGAAGTAACTCAGACAGTAATGCCTTCAATATGAAAGATGCTCTTTGTAAATGATTTGGATTTTGAACTGTTGATCAGAACAACTCAAAGAATTTGAAGATGTGCCTCTTCACTGTAATATATTTCAAAAGAGAAAATAATAGATTAATCATTCATAAATATAACTGAAGCTGTAATATATAAACCAAAGCCGAGGCACCCAATGCACAGTGTAGCATTAGGTTATATTTACGCTCACTGGGCCTCATGCAAGAACCACTGGGACCAACAGAGCTGTTCTCTAGGACAACCTGCCGCACTCATCAAGTTCCTCCTGTTTTGAATTTTATGGTACGAACACAATTTACGAGTGATGTAACATGAGTCTGCTGCTATCCTATGTTTGTCACTAATGGATTGTATTACTTTGAAGCAATTATGAGATTAAAAATCTCTATATAAATTACACGTCATAATAATTATATTGACATTCTCCTGTCGGACTCGCATCCTAATGTCCTTCTATATGCATTCATGTAGACCAACAGTATCACCAGTCATTTAAATTGGCTGTAGATGCTGTTGTGTAACACTACAATATTAATATGAGCATCTTAAATCATCTGACCCTCTCCCATTGCAGTCATCCACGCCTGGCTGTGGGGAGCCGGTTTTCATATGAAACCACTTCCTGTTTACTTCAGTGACAGTACGACGCTGAGGTGACACTAACAGGACTCCTCATTTGTCCTCGTCTTTAGCACATCCCTTAATTCTGCTGACGCCGTTATTAATGATAAACTTTCCGTTATGCATCTCAGAGAGCAGGACTTCATCATAGGACATATGGGACGGTACGTGTAGACTTGTATGGTATTATTGGGGCGATGATTATGCTAATCTAGAACACACGCTCATTTATTCACATTCATCATGTTCCCGCTGGTCGTTTACACGGTTTAAGTCAAAGTTAGGAGTGTTTGCTGAATATAAAGGCTCACCCGTACTCACAGAAAGGAAAAGAAAGTTAACAGTACGAAAATGTTCTCGCATTAGGTGCATTGTTCTCATTGATATTTTGGACAATGAAGCACTTTGCTTGACTTTTCTGTTTGGCAACAGCTCATGCACTAAAGAAATGGTGAAGTTACAGAAGGTGTGTTACATATTGTATCACTACAACCTTAATCTCACCTAGATTGTTACCGGATTTATTCTTTAAAAAATGATTTGTAACACTTTATTCAATACACATAATAAAGCTAGTCAATATATAAACACTTGTTGTCATGTCTATAACCATTTTACAGGTGTTGATACTGTTGTAGAGGCTGTTACCGTGCTGTAAAACTGCATCTCTCGTGGACCTCTGGGTGGAGGCTGAAGCTGCTTCAGGACTGTTCCGTCTGGATGCTGCAAAATGCCTGCAACAAATACAAAGATGCCACTAAAAAAATCAAGCGGTGAAGAATAAGAAGTAACAGCTGACAAGAAGCACCCGGTCCTCTGTTTCCAACCCTTGTACTGAAGCACAGTCAAAATCTATTGCATGTCCGTGAGCAGTGAATCTCTGTAAATGTAAAACACATCGTGCATTCAAACAGAAACACTTGGCTCTGCACAACTGAAGTTAATGTTTAATGTTGAATCATGAACTCTGAGGGAGCACTATGTGGACTAAGAATAAGAAGAGAAAAGGATGGGGTGATTTCTGAGAGAGGAAGACAGAGAGCAGCATGAGGCCTTTAATACAGATCGGTCTCCATGAGCTGTCAATGAGAAACTCATCCTCACAAACAATCACTCTTTGTTCACAAGTTCAATCAGATTGCTGAGCAGGTAGACAGGAAAGAAATACATGGACTCTGGTATTCAGAAAGCCGTCTAGGATAGTCCGTGTTAAAGAAGCCCAGTCTTCTACTGTAAGGTACTGGTAGGACCTGGTTGACGCACTGGTTGTACGTCTAGATGACCGGAGGTCACAATTGATGTGTGTCGCATTAGGTACATCATCCACAGACAAGTTTGTTGAACGAGAGTTTGTTTATTTTCTCGGCGTGGAACAACGTAAAGACAGTCCCGTTCTTTCAACCGACATTAAACGGAGCATTTACCGAAACACTTCAAACTGTTACCGTAAAGCGGTCAAAACCCTTTACCCTTCCGGGGTCAAACACCTGACAACAACGGTGATTTCAGGACCTATACTGTATACCTGCGCCCAGGACGTTAGTACAGCGCCACCCAACACATGAGAAATACAGTTGTATTTACAACACCATATTTGGCTCTAACAGTCAGAAACATGATGTCTCTCTCTGCAAACATTTAGAGCTCCACGGCATGTGTGGAGTTACCGGTTACACCGGAAAAACAGCCCGTCGTATGGAGAAACTAGTTGCATGCATTGCTCAGGTGTGGTTTTGACCCATTCTTCCACACAGTATTCAGGTCTTGATGGTTCCGTGGGCCTCTTCTATGAACTCTGATCTTTAGTTCTTTCCATAGATTTTCTATTGGATTCAAGTCAGGTGATCGTCTGGGCCATTCTAGCAGCTTTATTTTCTTTCTCTGAAACCAATTGAGAGTTTCGTTGGCTGTGTTTGGATCATTGTCTTGCTGAAATGTCCACCCACTGTAAATGTTTGCCTCATTCTGAAAGGACTGGTACTGGTTCTCTACCTCAGAACACTCAAACCATAGTGACCAGCCGTCCTTTGTGAAGAACTGACCGGCAGTCGTGAAGACAGTTGTAGCTTCATGCAGGTTAAATTGTTCCAAAGACCTGCCCCGCCTTCCACATGAACAATCACCATGCAGCAGCTCACAGGTGAGGACTACTGAGTCACACAGCAGACTTTCACCTTTGCCTTTCTGTCTTGCATCAGAGCCTGTAACTTCATTATGACCTAACTACACACACCAACAGAGACGTTATGGGGAGGAACAGAAAGGGTGGGGGGAGTAAGCAGGATCACTTTCAGTCAGCAACAGTACAAGCTGAACAGGATTCCACTGCTTGTTCTGAAACTGTCCTGGAGACATTAGGGAACTGCTGGCTCAGTCTCAATACTGTGTCTATTCCACATTTCCCTGCCTGTTAGTTTGCCTCGTTATGTTAATGATTGTTTCATTCCACATTACTGTATCACTGCTTCTTTAAAGGCCTCGTTCTCCTTGCACTGGGGGTGGAAGGACGAAATATTCGACAGAGTATATTAAAGACAGACACCAATGTAACCGGTTTGAGAAATGGGCAACCACTTTTTAACATATAAAAAAATAAGGACTGCAAACAGCCAAATGTGCACCTAAAAATAAAAACATTTTCATTAATTGTTGGAATAATTGTAAACTGACAAACCCACCAACATCACAAACAAAGTGATTCAACTGACAAAGAACCAGATGAAAGTGAAGGACAAAGACAAAGGACATTTGTCCTGGGAGGCAAAGTGTCCCTCCGTCTTTGAGCTGAGATGTATACATGTCCCATTACTCAAAATATAAGATGGCTAAAAATGGCAAGCATTATTTCAGTGACAGCAACCAAATGTTGATGCCTGGTTGCCAGCCTGGCAAATACCTATTCATGTCATTTTCCATTTGGAATATTTGGGGGAATTAAGTGACTAGCAAATAAATGTTATGCAATATAGCTTTAGGGCTAATGATTGTTTTCATTATTGATAACTCAATCAATGATTGTTTGAATTTATCGATTGATTTTTTAGTTTATAGAATGTCACAATACTGTGAAGAATTCCCATCCGAGAGGCCGGGGTGATGAACAGTTAGTCCAAACCCCAAATATATTTATTTATATATTGCCTGGGACGGTAAAATACCTCGTTGGGCTAGTAAATCTAGCAACAAGTGGTAAGAAAGACTTCTACATATCGGCTTTTTCTGGAGCTGAAGACGGTGGAAGCTGAGGAGACATCTCACCTCCTTCTGAATAAATAAACGGGACAGTTAACTTTTGTCTTTTTTAGTTATTTGATGACGGCTAATAAATACAACAATTTGTATAAGGGAAAGTAAAAATTGACTATGGGCAAACAATAAAAACAGAAACTGGTTAAACTGGAGAAGCTGGAACCAGGAAATGTGTGGAAACTCTTTATATCTACGAATACAATGGAGACAGGCATTAATAAGAAGAACTGAGGTATTTGGATCCAGGTGACTCTGCTAATGCAGAGTTCCAGGAAGTTCCCCGTGGTGAGGTACACACATTTTATATTTGGGCAAAAGAGAGTTGAGGTATCAAACTGGTATCGGGAGAGAAAGCGGTGGATTGGTGCAACCTTCCTTTACTTCTTGGGACCAATATACAACAACGCATATTATAATGGTGAGACATTTCTAATTTTCTGTGAATCATGTAAACAATTAATGAACTTATCACTATAGCTCTAGCAAAGGTGATACATTACTGCGTTTTACTTCTGCTCCATTTTGTGTTCACACTGACTGATTACCCACAGAGGAAAATCATGCAGCATTTAACTGAACCTGGTGCATTGATTTATGGTCCCTGGTGTCACAAGGAGCTCATGAAGTTATAACTGATTACCAGCATTACTAGTTGAGACTGAAACTCATTCTCATATATATATATATATATATATATATATATATATATATATATATATATATATATCATTAAAAAAAACACAACAGGCAGGAAACTTCTGCTTACAGTCCTGGTGAGTCTGTAATTCAACACAGGGAATGGAAGTAAATGTTGAACCACCACACCAAAGAAAACACGGTGTACACACTTCATCTAAATGGCTCATGTTAAACAGGAACACTACAGCCAAATACAAACTGGTGGATAGACAGGTTTGTCCTGGCTGACTGCAGGTCACAGTGAGAATGCCTGCCCCACAACATAAATGTGTGTCATTCATCAAGGTTACTGACTGACCCATCTGAGAGCTACTGTGACTACCAGCAGCTGCCCAGTGTAACATGCACTCAGCTCAGCTCAGCACCTCGTCTGATAGCACACAATGGAGGCTTTAATAATGTCAGTTGTCCTGTGTACATGAGTGAGTGTGTGCCAGTGAAGACTAGAGGGAGACCGGGGCACGGGGATGTCATGGTTACAAATCCACAAATGATCTCAGATCAGATTTAGTGCAGGGAACCACGTGTGAAGTTGTAGTTATAGCTGTACAGTAGAGTACAGACAGAGTGAGAAACATAATCTGATTAATTAGTAATACAGGTGTAGGAATCCTAACTCCTAGCTAGGCATGCTGCTTCGTCCTGCATGGAAAAAAATTCACCAAGCCAAACTTATATCACAAAATCTCCTAATTTACTGCTCGTGTTGACAGCACTCATACCTGTCTTCCATAAATATCATCTTTCACTTCCAGCTAATTGATCTCCCCAAACTGTTGGTGGGTTATTTGTAGGCCGAATTGTCCGCTGAACCTAAACAATTCGTTATGTCAGTTGCATGTAGGTGGGACAAGCAACATTCAGTACCCAGGTCTTAATAATAAAAAAGTTATAACTGCAGGGAAGTAAGTACTTACCCACTGTATCCACTCCATACTTGTGACCCGCCACCTGATGTGACAGCGGGACGCAGCCGTTCAGATGAGCCGGGCCTTGTGGCCCCAGTGGCCGCTGACCGCACGTCTCCTTCGCGGGGTGGCCGCCGGTGAGCCGCGGGGTCAGGCTGACCCCAACAGCGCCTGAACTGGGGGTCAGCTCCAGTCTTCCGAGAGCTAGAGAGGATTCCATCATCACTTGACGATGACTTGTTGACATTTGCAAAAAAAAAAAAAAAAATGTATATATATATATATAAAACTGTGTGTGAGGGGGGGGGCAATACGTCTTTGTCCAAGAAAAATATAAAATAAAAAAGTCAACGATATGACTATCGATTCACATACTGTTATTACGTAAGCACAAAATACAGTCCCGCACACAAATTGTTAGGACGTGAGGTTGAGAAGCCCTCATGGAAATAGTCCAGTCCAGACGAAACCAGCACAGCAGCTTCGGTCGTGTTCGCCGTCTTCGACCGCCAACAACAACCACACTGACGGACAGCAACACTGTCGTAATCCCCGCTGTGTCCGGTGGTGAAACAGGGCTCCCGACGCAGCGCTAAATCAATGATTTTCATATCTTAAAACAGAAGCATAAATACACCCTGGCCACATCCCACTTCCTACCAGGGTCAAAACAGCAGGACCGAGCACAACTTCCGCTCGCGGTTTCTAAAATAAAACGAAGGGCGACGTAGGTACCACGGTAATAATGAAGGCGGAGATCTCTGTTGCTATTCAAAAGCCGGCTGTCGTTTAAGCCAAGTGTCACGTCTCCGTCTAATCCCAAACATCGTTGTTTAATGTCAAAAACAAATATGTTTGCCACCTTTATTACGAAGGCAATGTCACCCAACGTCCGGTCTTATCTTGATCAAGTTCAGGTAGCCTGACGCAGCTCCACTTCCTCGCTCCAGAGATGTAAATACTGTTTTCTTTATGAAAAGGTGATGTTACGACACGCTCAAGAGTGATATCCAGTTCCAGTCAGCAAACAGAGAAGCAGACAGGGCGAATGGAGACAATATAATTGCATAGAGAGGATATTCAGTTCTGGTTTTGATTGCTAAGTCATCGATACTGTCCATTAGGCTGCTTAGCAAGCCCCTCCTCGCGTCACAATTCAGCACACCAGAGGGACATCACACTTGCTGTACAACCGCCTTCAGGACGAAGGGCTATCCGTTGAAGATGAGCACAAACACGATGCGTTGTCGTATTAAAATCCATGATATTAAAAGGGACCGACAGACTTCCCCTCAGCTGTAGATATCCAGGTCAGTGTAGGCGGCTACCTTACTACGTATCAAACAGTGCCCAAAGCCTCCCACACGTTTGCGACACTTTCCGTTACTGTCGCAAAACACGAGATACCTTCACGGCAACAGCAGCCGCCTTGATTTCATTGCGTTTTCCGTACGGTGTAGTGCGTTTATGTGTGAAATAGATATTTCTATTTATTTGCCGAATGGGCTTACAGTTTTGAATCAAAAGACCTATTTGAACTATTTCAGGCTCGTTATTGCCGAACAGCGTTATCCCTTACCAGTGGTATACCACCATCATATCCTAAATCATCAAGACCTTGTCCCAAATGACTCCTTCCTTTTAGAGGCATTAGCCTAAACAGATCTGTCAACACTTGGATCATTTGGACAGAATAGGTTCGCTGATGAATGAGGAAAAAAAGTCTTCAATAGCATGTATCAATCATTTATAATTATTGTTACTTCAGTTATTAGAGTAAGAATCAAGGAAAAAAGATCTACAATTGTATTTTTTATTTATTTTCAAAAGGGATTGGGTAAATTGAAACCTCCTTCAATACAGATTGTTAACTTTAAGTGTAGTAGATGGAAAAATGGTATACTGACACATCTATTCATCAAGCACCTGTTGCCTGTCCCCCAATCATCGTTTAGAACAGGATGGTTTCCCCAACAATTTTGTTTTGACGATGTATTGTCACTGACATAGTTTTCTACATATGTTATTGATTTAGTTCTTTAACTGAAATCGTGTTACCTAGGAGTTACAAATAGTACATTTCAGGCAGCAATTAGATCTTGGTTCAACGGTGATGCCATATCCCCACCAATATAAATATTTAGGCGTTATTTTAGGCATGAGCATGTGAGTTTTATTAGCTGTAGTTTATTCGACAGCTAGAGTGCTGAGATCAGCACTGAGCAAAGTCCAACTTTGTCAGGATCTAGGACTAATTATACACAACTGTAATAATCGTGTTTGTGCACATTCAGATGATGCTTCTGACACTCGGGGGCTTGTGAACCTATAAATAATAACAGTCAATGACAGAGCAATTCCATTGCTTTTGGGTATTGGAAAGTGTACAGCAAAACCAGTGGTGCTGTGGGAGGGAACCAGATGATAAAATGTGAATATGTCTAAACTGCTGAATTGAACCGGGACATTTAATATGAACAAACCTGGATTAGTGCACTAAAACCCTCCGTTATGTTAATATTATAATTATTATGATTATTATAATTATTTTATTTTTTTGAATGTACCATAGAGTAACATAATGTTTGTTACACTAACAGTGAGTTTCATGATGTTCTCTTACATCAGTAGAATATCATAGGCAGTGTGTGCTGTAGATAGCAAGTGCCATTCGAATGTCACACTTCTTTCTGAACTGGAACTGAATGCTATGAGGGATCGAGGATCTCGAGTACAAATAACCTGCATATGAACATCATTTGTAGGGGATGTTTAAATCTTCTCAGCTGTCTGCCTCTGGTTTTGTCTTTGCTTCACACATTGTATTCGATGAGTGGACTTCCCGACCCTTCAATAATAAATTTGTTAGAATGAAAGACAACCTTTGCTTACAATAAAACCATCAGTGTCAATGGATAACAGTAGGGTACTGGAGTATTTCTTGAGTTCTCTCGGACCAAAAATGTGCTACAAACATTCTGTTTGATTGAAATACGACTGTGCACAAAGTAACGGAATGCATGAAATAAATGATCTGAGTGCAAATGAACCCTCCTGAGAAAATCTCCGTCATATAAGATTTCCAGACGGGTCCATGTCTCTAATTGCAATGACAATTAAACTTATCTGTTATAAAGTTCATGATATCGCTCCTATTGGCCCAAAGTCCCATAAACACAAATACTGGAACAGTAAACAGATTACAGCTCTGTTTACACTAGAATGAAGTGTTGCCCAGTCCGTTCTCCTGCTCATAACAACATAATGATTGTGTTTATGCTGTAGGCCTACATCTGTATTACATCATGTACGAATACAATCACTACTCTGATTGGGCTCGTGATTTCTGTCTGTATTATATCATTCGAACATAGAGGCTCAGACCTCAATGTGCTATGTTCTTCATATTATCTTTGTTAAAGTCAATAATCACCCCTTCGTTTCCACAGTCCAGTATGAACTGATGTGTGGAAAACTGACTGATAACAGTTTTCTTTGATTGCTAACATGCATTAGTCAAAACTGAAGTCACATTGTCAAAACTCTTCACACAGTCAGTGAAACAGAAGTCCATGTGGACCAAACTCTGAATCGCTTTTCATTGCTCTCACACAAAATTCATTCGACCACATGTTCCAAAATCCATGAACTCTTTTGTCATTCACACTCCACCACCTGCAGAACACATTATATTTGCAGCATATTTTTCAAATGCTAACACACTGTTTTCAAAACTGTTAATAACACGTTAAAAACAGAATACTAGCTACTGGTACAAGTCCCACTGATACATGCATTAGGTACAAGTGAAGATGTCAGATTAAGGGGAATAATAATAATAATAATAATAATAATGATAATAATGGGAAGTCAGAAAATATTTTATACTTAACTACCAGGCATGGCGTGGTTTTTACAACAGGTCTGCTCAGTTTTGGATGCAAGTGGAAATTGTTGATAAGTAAACCGTTACAAAAATACTTTTTCATTTATGAAATGTCCAATGTAGTTTGTAGTACATGGCCATTTTGAAACAAATCTCAACAGACTTATGAAGTGCAACAGAACTCATTAACCTCCTTCCCCCAAATGTCCAGCTTTGTTGCTCAGTAGGTCATACTCTACCCAGTAATGTTAGAATATGCATCTGTTCATGATAATATACCTGCAGTATAAATGATCCCAGACTCTTATACATATTCCCTAATTACAGATCTTATTCCCTTGTACCTCCAGGTACAGTATGCATCGCTAAGTACTGCACTGGAAACACAGTTGGGAACAAGCTGCATGTGGCGGGACGTCTTCTAAAGCCTTAACCAAAGTATTTATTTCACAATGTAATCTGACTAGCTTTTTTTGGAGCTTTCAACCACATCTCATGAGCTTCATAAGCAGATGGAGTATGCTCAGTTGTCAAGTATACAACGTACTTGTTAGTGGGCTGTGCCAAAATGAATTACCATAATTATTTCTGAGGAAGTATGTCCTGCTTGATTATTTATACCTGGCACATTTTACATGTACACACTCATCCTTAAGTGTGTTATATTGAACATGAATGCTTTTAATGACAATTAGGTTTACAGAAGAATTTAGTTGTCAAAGGGATTTTCAGCTCTTTTTTGTATTTTCTCCCCGTCTGCTCGTTCCCCTGCAAACTCTCCTGCCATCTCAGAGCCTACCACTCCCTCCTGCCCTCCTGACCTGCAGTAAATTCTTGTTCCTCATCACCTGACAGCCCCACCCACCTGCTCACCTGTTCCCTCCTCCCACATCAGCCTTGCAGTGTAAACAGTATATTGGCTCATTTCCACCTGTTCCCTGTCAGATCGTATTGTTTTTGTTCCTCATGTCTCAGTTCCACGGCATGGTTCGGCTCGACCCCACTCACTTTGGCACCAGGTCCCTTTTCTCTGTTTGGCTTTCCACTGCGATTATCACCCTCAGTCCCCACCACAGGGACTGCCGTGACATCATCTTCAATGCCACACTCGTTGGATCCTTTCATCGGCAACCAAGCAGAGGAGGTCTTGCTCTTTGTCCATCGTGTGCCATACTCATTGCTAGTTTGATGTTCTCCATGTGTCTTTTCTCAGGTCAAATTATTTGAATGTGACCGATGATCTGTGTAGGGTGGATGAATGGATATTTGTGATCATGGAAAGGATATTTTTGTTATTGGCCCTTATCTGAAAACTCTTGTTTGAGATTACAGGGATGTAGCACAGCAGAGCAACTCTTATAGGTGCTTCTGAAAATCATCAACTTAGAGTGACTCGTATGTTTTTGGGCATCATG